GACAAATCCAGATTTTAATGCTAGAAGTAGTCTCCAAGCACCTAAATGATATTTCTTAAAGCTTATTTTAGAATGTAGGATCACACTGAATTCTGAGCCAGAGTAGCAGAGGTCAAAATCTAGCCCAGAGACTGAGCTGTTGCAGATGAGAGCACATCTTCCCTACAGGAATCTTTCACCCATTAAAAGTTAGAGAGAGTTTTTGGAGAGCTCTAAGTGTGCACATCATTTATAGCTGTCTCTAAATTGTGACAGTTCAGTACCCCAGCCTTGTTCAGTTCTGTTAAAACATGTCTAACAATCCTTGCATACTCTAAAAACTTTCTGCCTGTAACACAAAGTTGCATGCAACACTTTGTCTGTAAATCTTGAACATTAAATACTTTGTATCTTAACCCTCGCTGCCCCGTTTCAAAATAAAACTCCAGCCAACTTCCTCATAAGTTTCGTCACTCAGCATGAGCAAGGTTTCACCTTCCACAGCAGTCACGTGCTCACAGGGCTCTTGTAAATCACAGCACCCGCAGCATTTCCGAATCCCAGTGGTGGTCAACAGCCGAGAGAGGATGACTTTTTAGGGAAGAGTGCCAAAGGGGATCAGGAAGCCTCCCCTGTGCCAAACAAACATAGAAGTAACCAGAAACTTCTTGAACATGCTCTCCAGGATGTATTTTGTATTCCTGTAAACTCTGTCTCGGTCTTGCTCTTCTACACACACCCCTCCTCTGTATTTACATTGCAAATGTGACTATCGGCATCATCAAACTTTGTTTTAGAGAACATGAACATTAATCTCAAAATTGTGTCAACAAAATATGCCCATTTGATTACTTCCCAACCCATCCAAAAAAAATCAGAATATTATTATTACTATTACTCATGCCTGCAGTTTATAAATATGAAGGTTAATAAAGCCATTTCATTCCCTGGGAACAAGTCTAGATTGATCTTCCTAGTTTATCACAATCTCCCAGCTGTGGGAGATAATCTATGTTAAGGAACAGTGTCCCTATGATTAATAGCAGTCTTGCAGGCCAAACATACCCATTAGATTTCACATTTTATCTGATAAATACATTTCAGGGGAGTAACTTTGGAGGACAGGGAAAGTGTGCCACAACTGTAGAACTTAAAAATCCATTTTAGTTATTAAACCCACTAAGAACAACTGCCACCTTCTGCTGCTACATAAAAGGAATTTGGAGAACAGATCCAGGTTCTCAGCCTAAAAACCAAGGAGCTGGAAGGGCAGTAAATGCTCAGAACAGGCTGGATTTTAGCAGCTACAAAGTAGTCATCACCACATAGGATGAGATTTGGTAAACAAAGTGTGGAATTTACCTTGGTATCAGCCATCATTTTGTATATTTGAATGATTTCCTGTTGCCACCCAACCTTGTGCCAATTTTTGTGCTCAGATTCAGTGTGCAAAAGGCACCATCACCTTGAACCATGTGCCTTTACCCTCAGCAGCCCTTTAAAAATCCACCTCTTCTCCAAGGGAGAGTATGCAATAGCTACAACTCTGCCAGGAGGAGAGGTTTGGGCATTCACCCTGAACTCCTGAATCCATCTGCCTGATCCAGATGACTGTAAGAATGCAGTACCTGCCTCAAGCCCTTTGACAATACTTTATAAAGTGCAATGAAGCTGCAGCATATGGGGGCTGGGGGGGAACAACACCATAAAACAAAACTCAGCCTTGATTTCCATTAAGTCAAGCAACAGGAGATGGATGCAAAATTAAATTAATATCACTTGCAGAGATGCGAGCAAACATTAGCTACACTCGCCTCCACAGCCTCACTCTGCCATCCCATAAAAGGCAGGACAACGAGGAATTATGACTGTCTGTGACTGCACATCTGTCTTATCTGCTGGTAATTCTCACACAGGCCTGCAGAAGAGATCAAAGCTGGACCCTAAAACGTTTCAAATGATATTGCACACAGCACAACCTGCTGTTCTATCTCCCATGTGCAGAGGAGTTAACACACAACACTGACATCCACAAAAGCCGTGCTGACAACTGCTAGGCACATTTCAAGTCCAAGTAATTCAGCATGTGAAGATGTGTCTGTGATACAACCCTGAAAAACACAAGTCTTCTTCAAACTTGCTAGCTTATATATGGGTATATCAGATGCAAAAACCCGAAGCGCTTGCCTGCGTTGGTAGGGATTGCTGCAAGACAGAGTACATCACTGTAAAACAAAAGCATCAGGCTAATTTTACACAGGTCAGCAATCTGTTAGAGGGGAAAAAAATGGCTAAAGGGACAATGCAACTCATCTGGAAAAGAAAACTTCTCATTGCACAAATTCATAGCCACTGAAGCGAGGATGCGACAGAGATGCACTGCATTTAAAAACTGTATCTTCCCGCCTGGGAAGAAGAGCGCCTGATCATGATAAATTACTTTCATAAATGCAGATCATCCCGTTCTTTCATATCTAGTCTTCAACATTTATTTTTGTTATAGCAAATAACTGCACCTAAGGGATCATTTTACAATTGAAGTGTTTGCATAAACCTGTTGCAAGTCAACATGCACACCCCCCAGGAGATTCACCACCAAGACAAAGTCATCCTTTCTCCCAGCTAACAATACAGATAGCCATCAGTCCAGGCTCCCTCATGAAATATTTACACAGCTATATCCTGCTATCGCTCTGGAGACAACACCCCCATTTGAGAGAACTGAAGATTTACATCCGAGTCACCACCATGGGCCCTTTCTCCATTACCTGCTCTAGTTACAGAAGCATGAAACTAGAAATGTAGATTGCAGCTAGGCTGATCAACCATGCAGAACAGCAATAAAGGGGCCAGTAATGAGAACTACATCACCAAAGGTTTCAAAATTAATCCAAAAACCTGGGACGTGACTACAGCAGCACAGTTCAGAGGGCATCAGCGACAAAGAAAGGCTGATCCCCAGTTTTAGGGCCTCCTGTCTCATCAGCTGACAATCGTTCGTATCTGAAGGGCCAGGACACTTCCACGCACAGTAAGGCTGTGCTTCCAGTCCCACACCAACACTTCCACTCTCAGGATGGAACCATTTCCAAGAGGGCAGCATTCAGCTGTCATGGACAGGACAACCACTTGCCATCTCTGAGGAAAAGGCAGCAGACCAAAACCTGCAGCTTCAAACTCCAAACAAGCATCTGTGCTCAGACAGCAGCTGTACCACAGATCAGGGGGCTACTGAGATCAGAGCCACAAGAACCTGATCTACACAGAGACTCTTGCACTGCTGCAGCAACTTCTATGTACAACATACAGGCCTCTCACCACTCAAGGGGAGCGACAAGAAAGCTGAGGAGAAGTAGTTAATTGTTTGAATCATGCATCAGCCAAAGCCATAGACAGCAACAACTTCACTGCCTGTGTATAAAACCATATTGCATTGACTTCAGCCGTGCTCACTACCAGAGCAACAAGCATGAGAAGTCAAAAGCAGGAAGGATTTTATTGCTGTGCTCACTTTTTATTCATGAGCTGGGCTATGATGTATGGTTTTCCTGGTTTACATCACTCTTCGATCACAGTGTTGCCATACTTTGTCAGTCAGTGAAAACTCAGTGCCTAATTTTTCATAAATGCTGGCCGACATCACCTCCCTTCCCTGGTCCAAATCATCTCCCAGGGCACACTGCTGCAGGAAACACATTTCCCTTCTTGCCAATGACCTCTAGTGGTGAGCCCATGCAGGAGAGGACCACAGCACAGCTACATCTGGAGAAGAGATCGATCCTTTCTCCCTCCGACCAAGGAAAGCCTAACAGTTCACCCATCCTTCTCTTGCAAGCTGCAGTGCACAAGTTGATAGAAGCTCAGGGAGGGGGGTACACACTCAGCAGCATGCCTTGCCCCCAAATCGGTGGGGCCACTCTCCTAGCATCATTGTTACAAGCAGCAGGAAGCGTTTTGCCTCCTTCTAAGGTGAGGAACACATCATGCTCCCTGTGCAATCCCCTTCCCTCCTAAGCACACAGCCTCCTGCCTGGCTTGCTGTAGCCCAGAGTGTCACCTTGGCTCTGACTGCAGTGGAGATTGTCAAGTTTCAGGAAAGAGCTGTGAGAAGTCCATGCTGTAGAGGCACGTGAGATAAGTAAGGTGTAATTACAGACAGAGTTAGGCTTGTTGAGAGGGGAGTGGATAGCAGCTCAAGGGTTCACGAGGAAAGACAGCACCACAGAAAGATCACTAAGGGAGAAAAACAGTCAGCACGTGGCAACACAGTACAGCACAGGTCTGTCCTGGGGCCAACTCTTCCCCTCCCAACTGCATGGCCAGCAAATAGTGTGGGGAGCACACTAAGGCTTAGCCTGGTAGCTATTATAGCCTCACTCCTTTTTGTGTGCTAACCAAATAAATGAGTTTGGTCTATTGTGTTTGCATACTCTTTGAACACAGAAAAAGAAACATGAACAGAACCACACAGAAACAGAGATGGCAACGCCCTGAAATGAAGCAGGATCACAATTGTCTCCGACAAGCTCAGCAGAGGTCAGCTCAAGCTCACTGCCTTGCTCTGCACACATAGCACCTCACCTTAGGGCAGCAGCAAGACACAGAAGCTCTTGCAGCAGTGCATTACCACTCCACTAGCAGCTCTGCTCCCCAGCACAACACACTAGCACACACACCTGCATTTCAGCTGATGTACCCATAGGTGGACAGAGTAACAGGATTTGTGTTTAGACACTGGACTGTGAATCACAGCGGCAGAAACGTACATTCTGATCTGGATGTTGGCCATGGAAGTAATTTCTCTCAGACAGGTCACCACTGCAGCATTTGCTCAGTGAACAAGGCAGTTAGCTGGTAACCATCTCCAACACACCTCCCAAGTACAGCTTTTTTGGGACAGGTTCTCCCACAGCTCACATTTTACTCTCCCTCTAACTAGACCCTACAAATTTGAATCCAGTAGGCAATTCAACGGAGCAGTGAAAGACCTGACAGTTCTACACTCGCTGTAACAGCAGTACCTTTGCTTTCTTCATGTAGCTCATGATATTGCCAAGATCTTCAACATCGATGACAGAATTTGTGCCTCCAATTTCCTCAGCATCAGCCTCCTCCTCGCTACTGGTTTCAAACTCCTCTGCCTGTGTAAGAGATCAGAGAAAAAAATAGGAATGTATCTGAACGTTAAACACAACACCTTTATTTATGCTAACCAGTGAAATCAGCTGTCACAATCAGTAAAGACTAATGAAAAACAAAGAATAGTCTACCAATAACATGTAAAATGTATATGGGATGCATTTAAACTCAGGGCTCTTTAGCAGTGTGTATTTTGAAGGGCTCAGTAGCACAGACCATCTGAAACTCAGTCCAGCTATCCTGCCTCCAGATTGCTCCATTCTCCTCCTGTGCCTATCTGAGCACGAGGAGCAATACAGAGGAGTCCAACTCCCACCACATACTGTGATGATTTGGAAGCCTAAACCTCTAACTCCTCCAAGTGCCCCTGTCTGAATGAACAGGGAGTGAGAGATCTGCCTTCCAAGTCAAATTCTTCACAGAGTAGAAAAGTTGTCTCCCTTTCTGTACACAACCAAGGTACAGCACAACAGCACTGGGGGAACAGCAGGATTTATTCCTCTTGTTTCTGCGCCGGTCAACACACTTAAACCCACACAGCCAGAAGAGCCCCCATTTTCCTACAGCATTCAACATGGCCATAGCAGTCATTTCCAACCCACAATAAATGTTTGCAGGGAGGATTAAAGTGCCATAGCAGCTCTGACTTTTGCACGGTAGAGCAAGAGAGAGGATTTCTTTATTCAAAACCTGCAAAATGACACACAAACGATTACAGGCAGAGACATTCAGAAGAAATACAGGACTTGCTCAGGTAACACTCCCCCAGTTGCCTTTGGAAAAAAACTTGGGATGCAGGCAAAGCACCTAAGCTTCAAGTTGAAGTGGAAGCAGATTAACTGCTCACAGGGAACTAAATGCTTCACTTGGCCATGAGAAAGCAAAGACTGATGAGAACCCAGACTGCTTCCCTGGAGCATTTGTCTCAACACATACCTCCCCCCATTCCAGGGCAAGACTCCCTCATCATATAAATGCCACCTAGCCAAGGTCCAGCACTATTTGGTCCTTCTTCTTGGATGGCTTATTCTACCTGTTATCTGCAATGGGATCTGATCCCTCTTCCCCCTCTGCTTCACAAAGAAGCATCAAGCTCCCACAGCACCGCTCTGGGCTGTAGGAGGAAGGAAAAAGTCAAATAGTGCTTCAAGGGGCACTAAGCCAGAAACAAGGCCGCAGAGATTTGGGCTCTACCTCAGCATTCTCATATTCTGATGCCCCATGTTCACGATCTGAGCTCTCTTTGCTCTGCTTCCCTGGAGACTTGCATTTCCCCTTTTTGCACTTCCCACTGCAGGGCTTCTTTTCCCCTCTGCAGAGCGCCTGGAGCCGACTGAGGAACTTGGCTTTCCAGGCTTCAAAGTCTGCCTCAATGCTGCCATGTTTACTCTGGGCCACGTTGCAGTCCCCTTCAGCACGAGTCAGGATACGGCTGGCACTGAGCATCCACAGCCACCTGTCAATATTTCTTCCAACCTGGGATAGGATGAAAGTTAGAGGGAAATTAAATGAAGCCCAACTTCAACAAAGCAGGCAATTAAGAAAGCAAGGATCAAGCCTGGAAACAGAGCTAATGAGCTGCACAGGACTGCATGGCAGGGACTTCTGGACTCCCTCTCACCCACACGGGCACAGGTCAGTCTGAACACCACCACACACCCCAAGGCTCCCATCTGAAAACACCTCTGCTATCACTCTGATGTAATAAGAGATGAGCTCTGGGAACAAGCTTCTTTGTGAGATGGTTGTTGGTCAAAACATCCACACGTACCATGTTTCATGTGGCCCCCCCAGACAAGCATAGCCTGGTGACAAGCCATGCCATTTTTCTGACTGACACGAAACTAATTTCCAGCTATTTCCAAGATATTGTCATATTTTACATCAGGAAATAAAGCTAAAATCCACACAGTACAAAGTACATAAGAGACAAAAGTGCTCTAAACTAAAAGGCAGCAAGTGTCTACAGTACTGCACCCTCATGCACCGATATAAAGCTTTCAAAGATGGGTAATTAACCCAGTAAGGATTTACGAGATGTATTCCTATACCTCCCAGATTAATGCAGTGCTGATGGGGCTCCTTTCCCATTTAAAAGGGCAGCACAATTGCTTCAAAGCGGCACTGCCTGTGCCCTGAACCCTAATCAAGCCCACACGACGACTGCAATTCTCACACAAACCACCAGTGTAATTCAGTTTTGTAGCATTTAAGAAAGCTTAGCCTTTCAGAGGAGCAGAAATCAAAGAAAGGTGCCCAGGAGATACTTACTGTGTTGTAATGATCAACATAAACTGAGTTTCCCAAGCCAAACACAGCATATCTCAGGCCTTTCAGATACGCCTTGCCAAAGCGGAAGTCATTCGCAGCCTCTTCTAACCACTTGCAGAACCACGCTGCACTCTCGGTTGGCTGTCCATCTGTGTACGTAGCTACCAAGAACACACAAATGCTCCTGCTGCTTGTCTAACAATATAAAGAGAACAGAATAGAAAAGATCACACATGTTTTCAGACCACTTTACATCAGGAAGAGAGCTGTAGCACATCGACAGATCCAAGAAGTCAATAGACAAGATTTTTGCTAAGCAGGTTAAGAATCTTTGGTGTGGGATGCTGCAGGTGATAATCCCAAGGGTGGTGAATGGCCATCCTCCCTGCAAAGCCATCTGACACTAGCCAAGATCAAGCTGCCTTCCCCCTTCCTAAGAGAGACATGGTAGTAAACCAGAACCAGACACCTACCTTCCCTACCCCCACCAGCTTCTTGACCAAACCCTTGCAGCGATAAAGTCTCCCGTGGATTCAAAAAGCAACTATCAATATTTACAGAAGATAAAAAAAATCATCAATCTAGATATGCCTCCTGAGAAGTTTCTAAGTCTTTGAATGCTGCAGAAGTATCACACTATCTACTTGTTCTGGCTTTGAACCCTTCCCCAGGTGTACGCTGTCAGAGCCAGAACAGGGGGACCTGGCACAGCCTCTGACATGTAACTCACACCCGAGTTACAGAACTAGCTCATACAAAACCACTGTCAGTATCAAAATACCCTACGTGATCCTTTCCCAGTAATTTTCAGAATTCAGTTATTTCCTGCAGAGGGTTGGTTGATGGGCTATACTTGCTTACAAGGAAGGGAAACAATTTTCAGCACAGCTTCAGGGATTTCCAGGATAACAAGACAGAAATACAAGAAAGAAAAGAGCCTTCACAATCCCAGGGAAAGCTTGTATTTATTATTCATACTTATGATGTACCTACCTCCTCTGCTAAACAATCATCTGGATCATAGTCTCCCAAGCTACTGACTTCCACAGGCAAATTAAGGGCAATAACTGCTTCAGCCAGACCTTTGGCAAATCTCTGAAAAAAAGCGTAGAAAGTTATCAATTACTTCAACCCAGCTATCGTAAGGGTCAAACAAGCCCTGCCATGGCCAACAGCCACAAGATGCCTCCCAGCACAGGAAGAACAATGACACGTGAGAACTGGACATGGGACCTATAATTCCTCACATTTAAAAACATGAAGTACACTGGCTGAAAGAAGAGCATTACATGAATTTTAATGACTAATGATTTTACATGCACACACAAATTAAATTTCTTTGAGAAAGAAAGCACCTAAACCACCAGTTCCCTCTAACAAGACCTGCTGGCAAATTAAGAGTATATTGTAAGAGTAAACTTTAAGCTTCATAATCAATGTCTCTACTGCATGCTCCAATTAAACCAAGGGAGTAATTGTTATTTTTATGTCATTTCCACCTATCTTTTAATGACAGACAGTGACTTCTAATGAACATTCTGATGAACTTTCAGTACAGCATTTCTAAGGTGAGCAGTGTACTTGAATCTCAACAATACTTCAAAGCAACTTCAAGCATGTGAAAAAAGTAATTAATACCTTTGCTGTGCCAGTCTGAGACCCATAGAAAATCTTTACCCCAGCAACATAGACCTCCTTTGCCTGCAGGGTGGCATACCCATTCACTAGTTTGTCTTCTGTTTCTTCAGAAGAAGCTGGATTCCCATTGGATTTTTCACCCTAAGAAACAAGCACTGTTTCATTCAGGCCCTTTTCAAAGAGATGTTAACCCCATCTTCCCAAAAGCATTTAAAACACAAATCTTGTGACCAGACTCTCAGCACTACACAGACGCAATAGTCAAAGTATTTTAGCTTCTCACACCTAGAGAAACAGAGGAGTAACTATTGCCCTGAACTAGGCCATGCTACAATAAACTGAGAATCATTCAGGTTGGAAAAGCCCTTTAAGCTCATCAAGCCCAACTGTTACCCTAACCCTGCCATCCCACCACTGAACCCTGTCTCTAAGTACCGTGTCTGCCTGGCTTTTAAATACCCCCAGGGATGGGGACTCGACCCCTGCCCTGGGCAGCCCCTTCCAGTGCTTGACAGCCCTTTTGGGGAAGGGATTTTTCCCAATGTCCAACCTAAACCTCCCCTGGCACAACTTGAGGCCGTTTCCCTTCAACCCATCACCCATTCCCTGGGAGCAGAGCCCCACCCCCCCCGGCTCCCCCCTCCTCTCAGGCAGTTGTAGGGAGCAAGAAGCTCTCCCCTCAGCCTCCTCTTCTCCAGGATGAACACCCCCAGCTCCCCCAGACACTCCCCACCAGCCTGGGGCTCCAGACCCCTCCCCCGCTTC